GTATGTGATAATGTTTATGACTATCACTTAAAGGGCATACAATGACAGATGAAATAGGAAAGAAAAACTACCAGCTTCAAAAACTTTGTCTTCATGTTGGGGTTTTATATAGTTTTGCATGATGTTTTAGTTAAAAGTTTTCCCATAGCAAAGTAAGAGGTCTGCATTAAACTTTGTTCCCATAGTTGCTATTTCTTCTAATAGCACGCCCACCCAGTACAGTAACAGAACAAAGAGATCACAAAGGCACGTAAGTGTTAGTGAACTCAACACTACTGGAGAAAGCAGAGTAGCAGGAGGTATGGACTTATTAAATATCTTCAGATACTGGGTGAATCACTTCATACTGGTTTGCTACTAGTGATTTTCTTATTTTAACTTAGTTATACACTGGTTTTTAGTACATGTCCCTCCTTTCTCACCTTTTGCTATATCACAAACAACTAACATTCCAATTCCCCAAACCCCTCACTGTGTTCTTTTCATTAGTCATAGATATCACAACCACAGTCCTTCATTTAATTCCCATCTTTCTAGATGATCATCACAAAACTGACCCTCATAGCATGCATTTCGCCTTACCCTTCACAATGGCTGTTTTATATATTTCACTGACCCTGGAAAGCCCTTGATTGTTGGCTGTATCTGTAGAACTACAAACTAATTTAATGGAAAGAATTTAAAAAAAAAAAAAAGGAAATTCACATTATTCAGACAGTACCTATTTCAACCAGCAAACTTACAAATTAAAAGTATGTCATCCCTTAAAAGCCAGCGAAACATACAGAAATGAGTGATAAACTACTACCATGTATCTGGTTCTAATCTCTTACATTTTGCCTCTATCACTCTATTTAGTGAGTTATAACCAAGAATGCTGAGATATCTTTGTTTATAAGGAAATAGTAATGAAACAATATCCAAATACTAAAGACAGTAAAGGCCATCTTTAACTTTTTAAAAATTGAACTATGTCATAGAATTACAAAAGTGAACTATTAGCTTACCCATCTTTTTGAATTAGGAAAATAAAGAAGAATTTCTTATATAGCCTAAGAATCCCCAATTTTATGTCAAATAGGAATGCTGAATTATGTGCTATGATGCACTGGGGATCGACCTCTGCAGTAGGCTCCTGTCCTTGACAATGGCATGCTTCAGGGCTGAAGCTTTATAATGGCAAGCCTCGTATGAATTCTGGTGCAGGTGGACACTATGAAATAAAGTATTTAAAACATCCACAAAAGCTTTCATGTTCATAGCTTAAAGAGCTTTATAAATCCAATTAATTCATCAAGCTTCATGAACTCTGAAGGGCACAAATAATTACAGCCCTACATGTGGCTAACCATTAGCAGGAAGTAATCAGATGTATAGTTTAAATGAATCCAGATTTTAACTGTCTAGTTTAACTTTCCTGCATCTACAGAAAAGCAGGAACACAATGAAGAATCTGAGTCACTGATAAAAATCTAAAAATTATGAGTTGAGTGAAGAATGAGCAGAGAAGGGCCACCCTGGTGGCCCATGAGTTAAAGTCTCAGTGTTGTCAAGCTACCTCCAGCCATGACTAGGGAGCTAATCCACATGGCACAGCAGATTTGTCCTATCTCACCCCCTGCTTCCCTCAGACATGTGTTTTTCAATAGATCCACCTGCTCTGCTCCCTATTCTGCTTCCAGTGAATCCTCTCTTTGCCCACACCTCTGGCCTACACCCCTACACTAGTTCTCATGTGCATAAATAAATAAAATAAAACTTAAAAAAGAAGAAGAATTGGGCCCTCCCTGGTGGTGCAGCAGGTTAAAGCACAGCACTGAGAATCTAAAGCCGCTTCCGCATGAGTTCAATTACCGCCTGCCCCGGAGGTGACCACATGATGTGGCAGACCTCTCCTGACCCGCCCGCTACTCCCCTCAGCATTGTGCTTCGTCGATCTGCCTGTTCTGTTCCCCACTCTGTTTCTGGTGAAGCCTCTCGCCGCCCCTGCACCTCTGGCCTGTTCCCCTGTTCTGCATGCACAAACAAATAAATAAATCTTAAAAAAAAAAAAAAAGAAGAAGAAGAAGAAGAATTAGCACAGAAAAGGATGATCTTGTCACTAACACCCCAAAGAACTTTGGCTATTTTCACTTGGGCAAGGTCAGTTTGCAACAAGGAGATAGGTCTCCTATCATTCATCTCAATGTTTTGATATGTTTTGATGTGAAGCACAAAAGCAATTTGTAAAAGCTTGTGTGGCATGCCAAATGAAATCTGTGGAACTCATTGTCAGAGGAGATAAGTTAATTTATCTATTTAAAATGTATTTCAAAATACTAAACAAACACTAAACCAGTTTAGTTTGTGTGTAACTTACTCCCCTAGAAGAAGTAAAGCACTCTAGGAAGTTTGTAATTTTCAAGCTGATATTCAAACAAAATTATTCTGATTAGAATAACTTGCTTGCCAGAGAAATCTAGTTATCTAGGTATGGAAAAGTTAAAAACCCTAAATAAAGCAAATATTTTCCAACAACAACAAAAAATTCTGTACATCAAAAATATTGTGAACAGAAGCACCAATTATGTGAGTCCTATTGCTTATTCCAGGATATGGGTTTTCCACCAATGAAGATAATCAATAAAAAGGTGTAAGACTGTGGAAAGATCCTAATTATCAGACTCATAATTTAAACTTAATGCATATTATCCCAGGAACTGGGTGACCTTGAAGAAATCATCCTACTTCTCTGACCTTCAGTTTCCTCATTTAATGCAGAGGAGCAAAATAATACCTGCTATGGGAATTCTGAAAAAGCAAATGTAAAGTATGTCTTTAAAGTGTATATTAGACTTCAATAAATCATAACATGTATTTTTTTTATCATTTCTTCAACTTCTCCTAAAGGCTGAGTTCACTGAACCCTTTGGCCCTGGAAAGAATATTCCAACTGGGGCCAATGTTGAACATGCCATTCTCAGGTGACAAATCCTTGCAATAAATGAACATTGTCTATAAAGACATCAGAGAAACAGTCAATATGGTTAGTCAGGTTAAGAACCATTGGTCCCCACCCAAACTGATCCTTATTCCTTGGGCAGTAGTAAAAGTCACACTCAGACATCAGTTTTGGTTTTTTTCCCCCAGGAGTAGAAACTATTGGAAAAAAATTTGAGCCCATTTTAAAGATCTTCAAAATGATTACAATGTTTTACACATAGGACAGGTGTGTCAGTATGTAGATTTGTAGCCCCACAGGTGGGATTTTCCAATCACTTGATGTATTCAAATATGGTAAATGTAATATATCTCTAGTAATATGGAAGGTACTTAATTATGCTTTCATATGTATTGTTTTATTAAATACTTACAATAAAATTAAGAATTTATTATACATATTTCTCACTTGATAGCTATGGCTAACAATGTTTAAGTGATTGGATTAAATATTGATGAATTGCTAGCATTGGGGGATTTTGCAGAGATATGACAGTATACAACATGAATCAAATATTTAATGTTCATAATAACTCTATGACTGATACTATGAGATATTCTATAGTATAGACTGGGTGGGACATGGCAAGACAACAACTAGTAGAACCCATTCAATTCCAGAACTCTATTATTTTAATTTCTAGATTTGTGATTTTTTCTGCAAAAGGACTTATTCTAATTTTAAAATTCCTAAATCTAGATGGTGCTATTAATGCTTCAGGTTTCACTGGTAGGAAATGAATAATAGAATAACCTGAATATCCGTTAAAATCTCCCTCTCTGAGAAGAATGTATTGATATTTACTAAGTGTCAGACAAAATACTACATAAGTCTGTCATGTAGGGTTCTCACAGCAATCCTATGGGATTAGTTATGGTATGGTTATCTTTCATAAGAAGAAAAGGAGCCACAAGGGCCAGAATGGCATGAAGGTCACAGAATCTGTAAAGGTAGATATGAGACTCAAAACACATGTATTTACTTCCGGAATGTGAAATATTTGTTACCATGCTAATTGGGGTTGTATAAAGTGCTATAACACATATTTAATAATATAAAGTTTAGAATTCTAATAACATTCTCAATAGAGTATTTGTAAGTAAGTACTGTTGGCAAAAAAAGATTGAGAAATTTAAAATACATTTTTATTTACGATACTGTATTCTTTAAAACCTTTTACATAATTTAGAACTTATGTTAGCACTTGATATTTTACTAATATACAAAATTCAAAAAAATGCCATTCTAAAACATTTTTAAATATTCTAAATCTAAACTAGAGAAGTTTTTTTTTTTCCTATTTTCTCTGAAAGTCATTGGCACACACAAAAAAGCAGAATTGGACTAACAGTTTAGTATCTTCACCCTAACTTCAACTGGAAATTGAAGCACCCAGATAACTTGTTTTAAAGATAATGTAAAAGTCAGGATACAGAATACTTTTGGGGAGACAGATTCAGGGGGGAGCTGTTTCAGTGAATAGTGCACAAAAGCTACAAATCCATTCCCAGTGTGTGTATCCTTAGAAGAGATATTTAGAAAAATGATACTTAATATACAGTAAATGATTTGTTCATGAGGAGGTAAGCCCTACACATAGATTTTCACTACTTTATATCTCCACTTCATAACTTTCTAGTCTTTTCATGTTGTATTGTGCAATCACATGCTATAGACATTGCTGGTAGATGGAGGAAATAAGAGACGTTAATTCTCATTGAAAATGAACACAACCATGTCACTATCACATATGATCAGGTAAATTTACAAAACTATTGTCAATCATTAGGTAGAGATGCTTATTTAAATAAGCAATTGACTTTTAGATTAATTTTATACTTGTCTATTTTCACCTTCAAATTAAAATTTGTAGAAATACAGAAAAACTGTAACTTTCTGTAACTTGAAACCCATTCAAGATTTTTTTTTAATTTTTACAAAAAAAAAAAAATACAGCTCAATCTCAATTAACCATATGTGTAATTACTGGTGTACACTGGACCCCAAAGATACCTCATACCTGTTGTCTATCCAGGCGCATCCTCTTGGCAGCATTTCTACTCTCACTCTCACAGGCTGAGGCCAAGATACTCTCTGCAACTGCTGAAGTAAGGTGGGAAGGAATAGGTCGAGACTAAAAAAAAGAGAAAAAAAAATTGAAAAAATTATTAACAGTATCATTAACAGAACAATATTATGCTTAGAAGAGCTCACAGGATGCGCAGAAGTATCCATTTATTTCAAGTGAACTTATTTCAATAGAAAGAGGAAATGGGAGTCGCAAAAATGAACAATGAAAGCTAGTTAGAGGTTAAAACAGTTGTCACACAGATCCAACATTTATTCTCACAGCTAGCTCCATTGTAACAAGTATTTAGGCTGGGCCATCAAACTGGAGGTTCAGCAGGCAGTAGCAAAAGTACTGACCAAGTTTTGCAAATAAAACAAGTCCCTTAAGGCATTTTTAACATATGACAATGCACAACCACAAAAAAAAAAAAAAAAAAATCAGCAACAATAACAAAAACAAGTGACCAGGCTGAAACACAACTGGAAAAACTGATAATCAAACCATGTTGTTCTTAAAGTATTATGAGTATTTGCAATCTAAGTTCTGAGACAGCTGATATGTTTAAATTACTTTAAATACAAATGACAAGTTGGTCCTGGAGCAATTTTGATGACACAGGTTTGATATTTATGATGGGTGTGCCTATGTTTTATTTATGAAATGAGTTAATATTAATTTAATAGAATTAAAGTTGGAAGCCCATCTTCTGTGTAGACCACAGAGAAATTAATTACCCTCTAACTAATTTCCTAATCAACTACCAATTGTTTCTAACTCACCACATCATTTGTGAGCACTAGAAAAGTTTTCCATTATTTTCCCCATAATTACAGGCAATTCATCTAACTGAAAGATGAGATACTTAATGATACTGAAAGTTTTTTTAAATTAAAATAAGTAAATGATAAATAAAATGAAAACTAAACCAGATGAGATGGAAAAACGTAAGATTGCAAAATAAAATTATCATTTAGAAAATGCCACTTTAGGGTCACAAAGCCTCAGTTCAAAGTATGTAGGAACACTATTGAGTAGAAGCTTCTAAACTAATAAAAAAACTTTTCCTTATATGTAAATAAAGGTGAGGTGAGCTGAGTGTGCATTTGTGGTACTTGGTTCATTTTGCTAACTCGGGCAGGTAACAATTTGAATCATAGGGTTTATGTCTCAAACAATACTCTAAACAGCTAAATAAAAACCATAGTGTTTATCAAATATATCTAGTGGGATTTGTACAGTATAGAAACTATACTTTGATGTTGACTGAACGAGGAAGCAATTTCTTCAGATTTGTCAGCTTACTTCAAGTGTTAACTCTGCAGGCAAAAGATAGAAAGTACGTATATCTGAAATGTTGGCCAGAAAATGGTGACAATAAACACTAAGATATTGGGAATTATGATTTTGTGAAAATATAGAGAGCCCCTGAGGTGTCAAGAGAACTACAAGAGATTTTTGAGAAAGAAACTATAAAGACAGGACTGTGTGTTGGAAACATGGAAGAGGGTCAAAAAGTAATACACAGTGAAAAGGCTACCACAAAGATACAAATACATTTTCATATTGCTTCTACATTTCATTTACTTTAAAAAAAATATTTATTTTTGTGAAGAACAACTGGGTGTAGGCCAGGTGCAGGGTGGGAAGGGTAGGGGATTCACCAGAGATAGAGTAGGGAGCAGAAAAGGCAGATCTACTGAAACACAATGCTAAGAAGAGCAGTGGGCAAAACAGGAGAGGTAGACTGCCATGTGGGTCAGCTCCCTGGCCTTAATCGAACTCAGGCCATTGCAGTGGGCTGTTGCAGTGGCAGTGCTGAAACTTAACTCCTACACCACTAAGAAAGCAATGCATTCTATATTTCTATTAATGGATAGATTATCTACCTAAACTACAAAATCACTGAAAAATGGTCACAGCATGACTCAAAATTATAATCTAAAGTGCATGGGAATTAGCTGCATAATGATGTCCTATTTAGTAGCTTTATGTTCGTAGACTTATAGGAAACGTGGGAATACAAACATTCAATTATGAAAAAACTGTGTGTATATATATATGCATAAGTGTTTATACATATATGTGTGTGGTCATACACACACTGTATGATTAGTTACCATCATTCAAAAAAAAAAAAAGAGTCTATATCCTAATAAATTACATTACTAGATACTTCATCAGCTTCTAGGCACTAAATAATCTAAAGAAAGTATCAATAACCTCCCATTTCTATATCCAATTATTGCCTGTCATATGAAACTCATAGAAATAGATTTCTGCTCATTATCTTTGTTTTTTCTATTTATTAGGTGTCTCTATTTATATGAAGAGTTTTTGGAATTTTATATCTATCTAATCTATCTGGCTATATAGTGTAACATGGAAGTTTATCAAGCTGATCAAATTGTACAAATAAAACACATGTACCTTAAGTTAAGCTTGCTTGAGAACAAAGAGAAAAATAAGATAACTAGATAGTAGTAGTTCCATTCAAGTCTATTTCTAATTTTTAAAAGCAAAATGGCAGCCCTCCCTGGTGGTGCAATGGGTTAGGACACAACACTGCAAGTTCTATCCCCACCCCCGGAGATGCTCCACATGGCACATCAGACCTCTCCTGTTTCGACTGCTGCTCCCCTCAGCAATGTACTATGTCACTCTGCCTATTCTGCACCCCCACTGTGTCTCTGTGAATCCTCTTACACTCCTTGCGACTCTTGCCTGTACCCCAGTTATGTATTTTTTTTTAAAAAAAAAAAGCAAAATGGGAAGTGATCTTTATAGAAAATGAAAACTATTATGAGTGAAAATTTATATTTCCTACTCACTAAAAGTAATAAGAGTTGAGTATTTCTCAAATATGTTAAATTGGTCTTTTCAGGAACAAATTTATTATCCTGGCTAAGTAGACCAAAATATTTTTAAGGTCACTGAGTAAACTAACACTTCAAGATTTGTTAAAAAAAAAAAAAAAGTACTTTCATGATAAAGCAGTCATACACTCTTTTTCATTAAGTGATAAAATAAGTAGATATATGACTTGATATTGCCAGCAGTTAAATTTTGAATAATTTAGAATAATTTTGAAATAGAGTTGCTTTGAGTTTATTGTAGAATCATAATTTGAAATAATATATAGAAATTTAGCACACGTTTCTTCCATAGTTTGAAAAAACTAAAAGCATTTCTTAACTTTCTATTTTCTAGAGAAAATAGAGCTCTAGATAAAAAATCAATTTTCATGTCCCTCAACTCTTGCACCTTCCTAAATTCTCTTGTCTAATTAGTGCTTTCACATAATATATCGTTAATAATATATTTTAGGAGAAAATCATTATATGCAAAGAAAGCATTGTACTCAATTTAAAAAATAAGGTTTTCAAAGTTAGTCCTTTTCATGTATGTATTATAATAACCATTTGAAGATAACTGGATGGAAAGGAAGAATGAATCAGCAGTTTATAACAATTTATGAAATATAAAGGTATTTTTCAAAGAATTTATATTATTTTAAATATATTAAAACACCATGCAGAAAACTAGTAACATTCCAGTTTAATTTTAAGGTAAGTATTACTGATATCTCACTCATATTGAGTACTTAGGTTGGACAGGTATTAATGCAAAAAGCTTAGATTCATTATTTAGTCTTTAAAAAAAAAAAAAAACCTGGTGTGGAGTACGTAAGTCACTCATAATTTAGAGAAAAATAAATGGAAATTCTGAAAGATTCTACAACTTATCCAGGATCACATGCATATGTAAACACCTGGACTCCTAGCGATGACTGGTGATAAATTAGGTATAATATTTCCTAGTAAATATTTACCTCATTTTACAACTAAGGCCTCAGTGAGCTTAAGTAAAGCGAGATTTCTTAAATGCTAAACACACATCTGCAGAGGAATCAGTTTACGGCCAATTCCGTAAGCAGGTGTTATGGTCTCCTTAAAATCCTTCTTTTAAAGGATTGAAATCCTCCCAATGTATTGTTCTATTAATTCTTTACAACTCTTCTTCATTAATAGCACAAAGAAAATATGTAAGTTATATCACATGTATTCAACTGTCAATCTAAAGTTATATGATTTTTTGGTTGAAGCAACCAGAAAAAAAAAAAAACAAGAAATTATTGTACATTAAACAATGAATCTTAGTTCCATGCCCAAAATGAGAATGAGGAGCCAGGCAGAGTTCTTTCTCTCCTGTGAGGCAATTCCGCTAAGTATTTCCATGGATGTAATAATGGTGAGTCAATAATAACCGTCAGTGCCCCTCAATACACAGAGAACTCAATTATGTCATCCTGGTTATAAGATACTAACAGGAAAGTCTTTTGCTTATTTTTCCACCATAATTTGATGCTTATCTATTTCACACCAAAAGTACTTATACCAAGACAGTGAGAAGGAAATTAATCAGTTTTGCTTCTTACAAAGCAATTTTATCACAGCGAATTTAAAAATACTACTTAGTATAAGTCTCAGAACCATCTTCTCAGAAACTCTTTCTTCATCACATTTGATTGTGGAAGCTTATTAGAATATCATGTCTTAGTTTCTTCCTGGCAGATAATTAACAGGGTATGTTAAGGGTTGTAGTCCTAGATTTCACCAGACTCAAGTGCTGAAGATTCCCTTTTACATCAATAAGAGGCAATAAAACACAAAACTGCCCTGTAATAAATTGACATTATCATTTTTATAAGAATCAAATTCAAAAAATTTAATGGATAACATAGATCAGCACACTGGTTGAATAGTTTTCAGTAAATATTAGTATATATCTTAGAATGTTTTAAAATAATGATTGTAAAATATATAAAATCATGCATTCTACCTGGTTTATACCTAGATTAACATTTGTTCCTATTTCTTTCCTCAAATAAGAGATAATGTTGCCCCCCCTATATATACATATAGACACACACACTAATTATCTCTTCATAATTGTCATTCTCAAGTGGGATGAGATGATCTTTCCCCAGCACTGTTCTTACTGAATAATTATGTATGCCCAAATCAGTGGTGGCTGTTTCATTAAACAGATGGCTAAACTGTCAT